AAACCATTTCAGGTGACTACCTCTTGAAGCTCATGGAGAGAATGCCAAGAGTGTGCAAAGCAGTAATCAGAGCAAAGGGTGGCTATTTTGAAGAAACTAGAATATAAAACATGTTTTCAGTTATTTCACCTTTTTTTGTTAAGTACATAACTCCACATGTGTTCATTCATAGTTTTGATGCCTTCAGTGAGAATCTACAATGTAAATAGTCATGAAAATAAAGAAAACGCATTGAATGAGAAGGTGTGTCCAAACTTTTGGCCTGTACTGTATATATATATATATATATATAGCGCTCTGCCAATCCTGTTGTGTACAGACTATTGAAATAACAGAAGGAAGAGAAGGAGAAGTGGCATGAGGAAACAAGTCAGCCCTTTGCTTGTAATAAATGTTTTAATATTAAATATTACATAATATTAAATATTTAAGTATATGATATATTTTTTACAGTAAAAATTCAGGATTTCAATCTGGCTCGGGCCCAAAACTGCTGCCGTAGGTTGGGCTTAGTTCATGGTTCATGGTTCATGGTTGGTTCATGCAGCTTGATGTTTTGGGCCCGATCTCAGCTCTACTTTGGTTTTGACAGACGTGGGCTGTAAATAGAACAAATGAGATATAACATGAGAGATGAATTGTGTTATCATCAGACAGGACCAGGCTAGCTGTTTCCCCTGGCTCTTTGTGTTAAGATAAGCTAACTAGCTACTGGCAGTAGCTGCATATTAACTACACAGGTATATGAGTGGTATAGATTTTCTTATTAATACGTTTTGGCAAGAGAGCAAATAAAGCCCCTTTTCCACTGCACAAAACCCCTGCTAACACCTGCTAAAATCTGGCTTTTTAATGTGATGGGTAAGGTTCTAATCAGCATTCACACTCGGGTCAAATGACTTTGCAGTAGTTACTGATATTTATCAGCTTAGGCTCTGATCGACATTGATGGAAACACAACACCCGAGTGAATGCACTAATTTTAGGCCCTCAACCAGCAAGATGCAATGAGGATGCCACCACAAAATGGCATCCACCTCTGCCTAAGCAGTGCTTAAACATCATTCCAAAGTAGTCTGCAGGTTGAAAGACAGACTGAATAAGAAAGAGATATGCTAAACGAAATAACCACAGAACCACTGAAACATTTTCACTAGCCTCCATGCAGCTTTCTGTTTACTAACCTGTTTCCCAACCTGTCTGTGAAGTTGGAAAAAAGTAAAAAAAGTAATTTCGAATTATGCAAACTTCCTCTTCCACGCCTTTGTTACTGCTCTTTAACACAAGTGAATGTTGCACAATTACATCAGGTACAGAAATAATACAAACTCAGTACACTCCCTATTGTGTTGCCATCTACAGTGACACCTTTGCACAGTCTGTTTTAAGCATATAACTGTAGTCAGCCATTATGTTTTATGACAGCTCACAGATCCAGCTGTCTGTGAATGAGGAAATGAATAAAATACAAGATAAAGACAAGACTGCCTCAAGATTCAGCTTGGCCACCCTGAGTCCTCCCAGTGGGGCATTGGTTGGTCCTTGCTGCATACATTAGATTCTCATTAGCATATAAAGAGCACTCGTCCTCCACTCAGCCATATGCTAATCTTTAATAGGATGAAATGGCCTGCTCTGGCCAATGGCAGGGGAGCGTTTATGAATCTATTAAAGGTTGGACAGCTGAACGAGAGTGGGCATCGTTTAGGCCCGCTGGCAGTAAGAGAGAAGAAAGGCCTGAGAAAAGAAGAACAAACGATTCAGGCCACATATAAATGCAACAACACACAGCCACCCACAGGAACAGACAGTGTGCAACAAATCACATTTAACTGCAGGGCAAGAATGAAACAGCAAAAGCAGGATTACAGTAGCGCATCGTAGCATTGGCAGAGTCTGTAACACACCACTATACTGAATATGTTTTGAAAGAGCCAAAGCCTCATAATCCACATTGAGGCTCCGCTCTTCTTAGACAGGAGTTAGGTGGAGATAAACCTCATATATTAGAGCACAAAAAAAAAACCCTGTGGAGCAAACAGAATCGGCTGCTTAAGACTGGCTCACTAGACAGCCAGACCAGACTGATCGATGTTCAGAGCTACGTGTCTCATCTCCGGTTGGCATGTTCCTACCCGATGGCAGCAGGGCAGTGAGACAATATAAGAAAGACGTAGTGTCAGAAAATGACCAACAGGTGGCAGTGGTGATCTTTAAGCATGCATGCATGTGTGTGTGTGTGTGTATGTGTGTGTGTGTGTGCATGTGTGTTTGAGTCTCACTGGCCTCT